CTGTGGAGAACCTGGAAAACAGGATGTGTCCGAAGCACGATAAACCTCTGGAACTGTTCTGTAAGACCGACCACACATGTGTCTGTATGCTCTGTCATGTTTCAGACCACAAGATGCATGATGTGGTTCCTCTCAAAGAAGGATATGAAGGGAAGAAGGCAAAGCTTGAGGTTCAAACTCAGCAGATGATCCGAAAGAGACGACACAATATTCAGGAGATCAAAGACTCAGTCAACCTCAGTAAGAAAGAAGCAGACAGACAGATAGCAGAAGTTGTTCAGGTCTTCACTGCTCTGATGGAGTCTGCTAGAGGACTGAACAAACTCATGGATACGGTCAAAGAGAAGCAGAAAACAACTGAAAAACAGGCTGAAGGCTTAATCAAAGCCCTAGAACGGGACATCTCTGAGCTGAAGAAGAGAAGCACTCTGATGGAGCGTGTCTCACACTCTGAAGACCACCTCCATCTTCTCCAAAGCTTTCCATCCTTGAAAGTTGCTCCACAAACCAAGGACTGGACAAAGGTCAGCATCCGTCCATCATCACATGAGGGAACTGTGGTGAAATATGTGGTTCAGCTGGAGGAGACACTCAGTAAAACTCTGCACCTCTTGTCATCTCTACGGTCACGGTAAGAATCCGTATTACACGTTATCCATTGCACACAGTACAGTGATAGAATGACGAGAATAATTATTGAATTCCTTGTAAAAAAAATAACACAGACTTTTTTCTTTACAGGTTCAGAGTGCCGGAACCATCTTCGTGTGAAATGCCAACCGTACCGTACCGCCGCCTACGGCCCAGAGATCACATTTAACACAGTGGAAATGGAGTGGAAAAAAAGAAACGCCACAAGATATCTTGATGTATAGCTGCAGACAATATATTGCCGAATGTTTCATAAAGCTTAATTTAAGAGTAAGGCCTCTTTCTTTGCCTATAGTGTCTACAGAGTACAGTATGTGTCTTTGTTATGCATTGAAATGTATTGACAAAGTTGTTTAATAGAACAGATACTGACACATTTTTCCATTTAGTTAATTACTGTGGCCAATTTTTTGTTTTGATTTATGAATATTGGTAAGGTGGTTGATGAGACAAAGAAATCTGTTTTATTTTGAGTATTATTTTGTTTCTGTTATAGATTAATGTTGTGATCTTTAATATTTCAGTCCTCGTTGATTCGGTGAAACGCTGGTTACTTGTGAACAAAGCAAGAGTGGTTTAATACAAGTGTAAAGCTGCTTGAGCAACTGCTTAGTCAGAACTACAACAGAAGAGCAGCTGCAGCAAAAATAGACCAGGAGCATAGCAATAGAGCAAGACAACAGTCTACGCTCATGCACACTGGCTAGGATGGCAGCGTATTGTTTTTAGGAGCCTTGAAGAAAAAAGGCATTTGTGAAGGAGGGAGACAAAAGTTGTGTTTCAGTGGGATTCGTTACTTTAAACAGATTGTGTATGTTTAAGGTCTGGAGGTTGTGTAGAAATCATTTCCTTTTACAAATGTAATTCAAATACATTTCTATGTTTACTGGCCTGTGCCACCCTCATCCTTGTGTACTCATTTTGAACCAAAATGTGTTTTTTGTACAAGAACACCCACTAAAATAATCGATAGACTCCTTTCCCATTGCTTAGTATGTGTTTCTGTTTTTATGTGGTGCGTTACGTTCAACGCCACAAACACAACTTGGAAGCAGGGTTGGTTGAAAGTGAAAATGTTCCGATGTTTATATGTGTTACTTATTCAGACCGTCTTTCAAATTCCCCAAACCAATGATGGTGATTGTTCAAACAGTGGAAAGACATCAAAAACTTAAATTAGTAACCCTTTTCGCTGTTGTTTTTCAAAAAATAAACGTTTTTTACGATGCATATTTGTTTTCTATGTTATTTTTTGTAATTATGAACATGGTTTAAATCCCTGTTATTGTACTGTTATAAAAGTATAAATAGCCAGAGGTTAGTGGGTATTTTGTACAATGTAAAAGGGGGTGTAAGTGGGTATGTTGTATAGTGGGAAAGGGGCTTAATGGTAAAGTGGTGTTCATATCCTACATGATCATTATGATACCTTCGTTGCTGTCCTGTGTTGAACCCCCTATCTCTAATAAGTCAACATTTCATGAGTTTCTCAGAAAAACAGCCCCGTTTCCAGCTTTGTGACAACACATCTAACAGTTGATCCAAGAGGGTTTTTGTGTAGAAGAATTGTCTCAACACATAAACAAACACTCTGGAAATACATGTTTTCTACTGGACAAGAAAGGGATGAAAACAGTCATCTGAAAAATAACTAAAATGGTTATACAAATGCAGTGGCGTAAAAGTAATGTTTGCCTCTGAAATGTATCGTAGGTGAACAACAAATGAACATAATTTGAATGCATGTTGTCACTGGAAACTTATTTAATACCTTTAGTTACTTCACAGATGTGGATGAATGATGTGAAATCTAATCAAGTGTTAAATCAGACTTTAGTTCCACCTGGAGTAAATCCACAAGCTACCCTGCAGTATACAAAGTCATTCAAACTAGCTGCACCTTTACCAGCTTTGAGAACACTTTAATGATCAATCATTATTAAACATGTCATATATATTATTCTGAAATGGACCAATCTGCACAATGACTACTTTTACTGTCGCTACTTTCACTATATTTTGATGAGAATACTTTTCTACTTTTACTTGAGGAACATTTTGAATGCAGGACTTTTACTGTAACAGAGTATTCCTACACTCTGGTACTTCTACTTTTACTCAAGTACAACATCTGAGTACTTCTACTTTTAGTCAAGTACAAGATCTTTCCACCACTGTGCAGTAAAAGTAAAATATTTACCTCTGAATTGTAGTGAGGTAGAAGTACAAAGTAGGAAAAAATGTAAATACTCAAGTAAAGTACAAGTACCTCAACATTTAACTTAAGTATAATTATTGAACTACTTGGTTACTTTCCACCACTGCATACTAAATAAATCCCAGCATATACTAAACGCTAAACTCAAAGTATATGCTGCTTTTAATAAACATTTTTAACGTGAGTTGTCTGACTGGAATGGGGCAAAGCCTGCGAGATAGTTTAGGCAGTCAACTGCACTAATGATACATTTACACTTAAAGCGCCCTGCCCCTCTTACAACCTCGCTGCTGCGCGCCTGCCCCACCACCCCAGCTTCTGCCCCAGCATCCTCCTGTAGGCTCGATGGGATTGGTATCTAATCATCACTCAATGTTCTATGTACATTTGTGGAGTGATGAGGCCCGAGCCTAGATGCCAAACTCAAACTAAATGCTGCTTCTAATAAACATTACAAACGTAAGTTGTCTGACTGAAATGCATTAATGGTCTGACATAATCACAAGGACACACATTGAGCCTTGTTCATACATTTGGAGAATGGATTTCCCCTTTAAAGCTACGGCTGAGTAACCTTTTCTGAACAATGCGACACTGCAGGCTTTATAGAAAGTAATGGGATAATGACAAAACTATCTAGGTTGCAATTCAGCATCTGGTTAGAACAGCTGTTATTTCTTCTTTTCAAAGCTCCATAGTCTCATTTTTGTTAAGCAAAGTCAGTGGTTGTTTGAACGCTAGATCTAATAAATCAGAGCTGTGGTCAGCTCATAGAAAGGCCTTCTGTTAGAAATGTTTACTATAACACTTTACATGCTACACAGACACTTCACCGGTCATTGTGTTAGTCAAACAGAATGATTGTGATTGTGTTATCAAATCAAATTACTATTCAATGTTATAATGTATTTATTTGTGTATTTTTGAGATGATTAAAGCTCAGGTGCCAAAGTACTGTATGTTTTGTTTTCACTTGAGAGCAGCAGAGGAGCAGGTCAGTGTCTCTGTCCTCTGGTGTTACATGCTGTAATGAGCAGGAAATCAAAAACGGTCTGACTGTGAAAGTTAGGTTTTTACTTGTTCCGTGTAAATACATCAGAGCTCTGAAATAAAGTTTAAAAATGTCAAAGGTAATTGCATCAACATTCATTTAGCCTAAGTTGGGAAGTCACTCTGGTATTGTTGTGGCTCAAACTAAATGTTTTCACATAATGTAATAAATCAATACAATAGTCAATTAATCTTCATCATGCAAGTGCAAATGTAATATTCAAAGACTTAGCAAAACAGTAAACAGTAAAAACAGGGACATTTTGTATTCCACAGATGCTGTGTTTCACTTGCCTGTTTGTGCTGATTCAAACTATTACAACATGTTTCCATGTCTTGTTCAGTCTCTGTGTATCAGATACATGTGGGAACAGCACAGGTGTAACAACAGTTCCAGACAACCGTACACTACACATCTAACGAAACTCCTTTTTTGAGCAAATTTAATTTATTAAATGAGGACGGGATCTCAAAGTTTTAACTCTCATCAAAGATGCATAGTTTAGTTTTAAACACGCTTTTGTAATAAAAAAAAAAGTAAATAATTGTTGGACAGCTAGATCTTATAAATCAGAGCTGTGATCTGTTCATATTAACTGTCGTAGAAAGGCCTTGTGAAAAGGGTGTAAATGTGTTTTACTCTCTGTGTATGTTGGAGCTCCGTAATTTTCATACATATGTGCGAAGGCCATTTCATCAACATACATTTACATTAAGATGCTTTTATCCAAAGCGACTTACATACATTCAGTACTGTGGACAATCCCCACAGGGGTGAAGTGTCTTGCCCAGGGACACAACGACATGCTGACTGCAGTGGGACTTGAACTTGGTACCCCCTGATTTAAAGTCTAGCAGTCTATCCACTGAGCCACAGCCGCCCACCTTTAGCCTAAGTTGAGAAGTCACTCTAGTAATGTCGTGTCCTAAATACAATGTTTTAAAATGATGTTATAAATTAATTATTCCTTTTCATGTTCATTGTGCAAGTACAAAGGTAATATTCAAATAAATAGCGAAACAGTGAACAGTAACAACATGGAGACTTTTTGTTATACACATTTATCACCTGCTTGTTCCTGTTGAGATTTTAAATTGTGTTTTCTCCACGTCAGTCTCAGTGTGTTACATAAGTATGGGAACAGCACAGGTGTAACAGCTGTTGAAGTCCCATCAGTACCTACTCTATCTAGCATGTGGAAGATTTTTAATGATCACATCAAGATTTATGACACACTCACTGATGAAAATGAAATAACACTGTTGTGATTGAGAGACAGACATATCAACACACTTTAAATATTGTCTCACTGAGGCCCTGTGGAGGGAAATGTACAATGCAGGATATATTATTTTAACAAAAGTCTTCTTCATCATTTCTCTCATGCACAGCAAAGTAACGTATTTCTTAGAACAATCTCTAACAACAGAACATTCAGAAAGGATGATTTCAGAGTGCGGACCCACTTTTGAACATTTCTTTAGTGTGATGTGCTGGTTAGTCTTTTTCTTTGCATGAAAAAGCTTATTTCAACACACTTCCACAGACTGTGATCACTAAGCATCAACATTTTCCTGCAGAAAAGCATGTTTGTTTTCTGGGACTCTTTGGCAGTCCAAACGTTTTATTTAATACCTTTATTTGGTTTGGTTAAAAATAAATGGTTTTGTGAGACATGTCCAGCTGAGCTGATGTCCAGATACTGTTTGGTTGTGTAAAACAGACAGAGTATGCCAAGTTCAGTTGACCAATAATATTAGGCCAACAGTGAAAACACCCTCCCTGATGCATATAAAAGGAAGCAGCCAGTCACTTGTCTCCTTCAGAGTCTCTATCCCATCCAAGGCTGCAGATAAACTCAAACGACAACCAACCCTTCCTCCTGCACCTGTGACGGAGAGACATCATCATGCTGTTGTTCCTCTTCCTGTTGGGTCTGGCTCTGGGTGCTGTGTCTCCTTCAGAGGACCCTCAAGTGAAGCTTGAGCGTGGCAGCTGTCCCACGTTCTGGTACTCCTTCAACAACCGCTGCTACAAGTACATCGCCACACATTTGACCTGGGCTGATGCAGAGCTCCAATGTGTGTCAGAGGGAGCCAACCTGGTGTCTATCCACAGTCAGGCCGAACATGAGTTTGTCAGATCACTGATCAAGAACTTTGACGTTGCTGAGGGATACACCTGGATCGGACTCAGTGACCTCCACAAAGAAGGAGGCTGGATGTGGTCTGATGGGTGCGCAGCCAAGTTTTTCTTTTGGTATGCAGCAGAGCCAAGCAACGGTGGAAGACACTGTGTCCAAACCAACTACGGTTACAAATGGTACGATTGGCCGTGTTCTAGCACTATTCCCTCAGTCTGTGCATCTCGCATAACTTGTGTTTAGCAACTGAGATGTTACATATGTCTGATTGAACCAGGTCACTGTAAAACTGTTACTCTGTTAACATGCTTTGGACCACAATAAAGACATGAATGTACACTTATATGTGTTTAAAGAAGTCATTTTACTAACCTTCACTTCCATGAATATTTACACAGGTGATTCAAAATGATCTCAAACTTAATCAACTGAAAACATATAAAAGTGTGTGTGCATAAACATAGGCATTTGTCTTTGTATCTGAATGTTGAATTGGTTTTCAAGAGAATCAATCCACAGAACAAAGATATCATTAAAAAGCAATGAAAATTATAGTAAATTAAATAAAAATAAATCATTACATTCAAAATAATAACAAAAAACCATTGAGATAATGGGAAGAATAAAACTATATAAATAAATAAATGAAAAAGAATAAAACAACCGTTATAATATATGTATTTTTAAATATACATGGGGTAAGCATTGTCATTATCATACTGTCACCACTCAATTATATACATGTTAAGAATAATAATCTTTCCCACATCAAGATGATATCATTTTATATATTTACATAGGTAATTCGATTGAATACGATCTCAAACTTAAATGAATGAAAACATATAAAAGTGTGTGTGTTTCTATGTGTGCATAAACATATGCATTTTTCTTTGTATCTTAATTTTGTATTGGCTTTCAAGAAAATGAACATGATACAGAAAAAAACATCATTAAAAAGAAATGACAATTATAGTTAATTACATTTAAATGAATAATTAAATTCAAAGTAATAACAAAAAACAGGAAGAACAAACACTATATAAACCAATAAATAAAATAAAATAATGAAAACAATCCGTATAATATATGTATTTTTTAAAATATACATGAGGTAAGAATCATATCATACCGCTCACCTTTCACCACAACAATAATATACATGTTCAGTATAATACTCTTTCCTACATCAATATCATATAACCAGGCCAAGTGTTACTGTATAGATGCTTTTCACATAGCTGATCATAAAGACATTAATGTCAAACATCACATTACATTTATACCTTTATTATATAATCATTATATAAATAATCATTCACATGTTTGCAGGTCTCCCTTGAAAAAGAGATCGTTGATCTCAATGGGATTTTTTAACCTGGTTAAATAAAGGCTACAAACAAACAAATGTAGTATCAATGCTTCCTGCACGCTACTGCCACTATTGCTACTTAATTTATTAAATGACTGTCAATCATAATATATTGTTTCATTTTAGATGTTCAGAAGTTCATCAAATGCATTCCTGAGAAGAAAGCATGTTTGTGGTTTGAAGCTTTAAAAGTATTTTGTTATGTTTTAGTAATCTCAGTCCCAACTGCACGCCTCGGGACCCTGACCAAGCGTCGCTCCTGGACGTTTATGGAGTGAGAGTGTGTTGGGGTCTCCAACCTTTTTTAGGATGAGAGCTACTTTCAAAAAATAAAAACACAAACTTGCACAAACAAATGTTTATCAAATACCATCAGATATAATATGATTTCCATTTATCATATTATATCCTTTGATATGAGAAAACTACAATTCAGGTGCCATTTTCAGAAGTGCATTTTATAAGATGTTTGTGGTTTGAATCTGTAAAAGTACTTGTTTTTGGCCACTTGAGGGCAGTAGAGGAAAAAGTCAGTGTCTTTGTCCTCTGGTGTTAAAGGTCCCATGTCATGCTTTTCCGGTTATTACCCGTCCCCTTGTGTGTTATGTAGCTTGTTCTGCATGTAAACGGTCTGCAGTCACAAACCCTCAAAGTACACCCTGTAGCGAGCAGTGGCGGTTCTAGACCAATTTGACTGGGGGGGCCAGGCTGGGGCCAGTTATTTTCTGAGGGGGGCACAATAAATTCGGGACGAAAAAGACAAAGACAGTATGAAGTAATTGCGCATAAGAAAACAATGCAATATAGTTATTGGTATTTGTTTCAGTACACATATTTATTTCAGATACTTATAGTTACAGTTTTTACGCTCTAATGCAGGGGTCTCCAACACACTCTCACTCCATAAACGTCCAGGAGCGACGCTTGGTCAGGGTCTCGAGGCGTGCAGTTGGGACGCTCCTAGGCTCCTTCAGCTTCATAAACAGACGCAAATAGCTTTCAACTGATTGCAATGTATTCCCATCTGCGGTGGGATTTGACGCTCATGGAAGCACGGCATTCGTTTGTGTCGGAGGCTGTTAAAGGCAATGTGAGCGTCCATTCCCATTGGATAACGGAGAATTGTACACCCGGAAGTAAGTATTCCCCTTACTGTCGATTGATTTGACAGTGATATCTCCACCACTCATCAACTCAAAAACACCAGATTATCCTTGTTAATTAAACGACATTGATAGGTTTTAGTGTGTGTACATTGCTTTTGTCACGTTCAATTCTGAGAAACAAGTCGTTTTCTATGAGTTTTGGATGGCCGAAGACATTACATTACCCACAATCCTCTGTAGCAACCATAGACTGTATATTGCAACAGGCAACAGCTTCAATTCATGTTAATTTACAAACTCTTCAACTACAACCGTAGTTATATTTAAAAACATGTTAGAAGGCCTCACGAAATACTTTAATGTAAATTTAAATTTAAATGTGAAAGAATGTGTGTATATTAACTGTGGGTTTTTCTCTGGAAGTTTTTCCTTGTACGATGTGAGGGTCAAAGGACAGATGATGCACGCTGGGATTTGGTGTTTATGCGATGTGAAATCCGAAAACATTTAAAAAAAATTAAATAATACATTATTCCGAGTGTGCTTGCTTTTCTCTTTGAAAGTCATCACATAACGGCATTGTAATACACGTTTCGGCTGCATTAAATATGACATATCTGCCGTAGTTAACTCTGTTTATAGAGCCCTGATGACAAGACTTCTAGACAAACAGGAACTTCCGCCAAAACTGAAAACTTGACGTGGATCTTAAATATATCAACAATTAAACAACATCTTACATTTCTTTTCACACAATACGTCTCCTTGCAGTATCAACACTAATTCGGCTGACTTTTATATTTGATCCAATTGGTAGATATGCTGTATTTTCGCCATAACGGTGCACAGCTGATAGAAAGGGACACCTACTGGTTAAAGCACGTTATTGCATTTTATAATTTTATTATTTGATATTAATAGGATCCCTTTAAAGTATATTCTTTACTCGTCGTTATTCTCTACTAATAGTTAATTAAAGACTGTATATAATGACTATTTTGCACATCCCATTCAAGATTTCAAGATTTTCTAAGGTTTATTGACATATCATATTATACACAACTACGGTGTAGTTATGCAATGAATGAAAAACTTGGGTCGCAGGTTCCTCAACAGTGCATTACAAGACATCTATCAATATGTGTGTACCTCCACCATTACATTGTCATATTCTGCACATTTCTTATACTATCTGCATACATCTTATAAGAGTGTAATACATATGTATAATATCAGTTAAAATAAGTGCTTAAACATAGTTAACATTGCAGGAAAGCAATATATTAGACGTTAAGTACTTTGTCAGGCTTAATATTTATCTGTAGATACAAATGTCACTGTGTGTGCTGTGTGCTCTGCATGTGTGACCATCAAAGAGGATTTCATCCCTCCATATTCATCTTCGATACCCCCAAAGCTTTTTTCTTATTCAAAAGAAGACCTTAACCTAAAGTATTCTTTAATGTTTAAATAAAACCTTATTAGTTGGTCTGTTTTGCACATCCTCCTATTAATATCTAATAATAAAATGATAAAATGCAATAACGTGCTTTAACCAGTAGGTGTCCCTTTCTATCAGCTGTGCACCGTTATGGCGTAAATACAGCCTATCTACCAATTGGATCAAATATAAAAGTCAGCCGAATTAGTGTTGATGCTGCAAGGAGACGTATTGTGTGAAAAGAAATGTAAGATGTTGTTTAATTGCTTATATATTTAAGATCCACGTCAATATATATATTTTTAATTTAATTTTTAATGAACAAGGTAAATATTATATAATTGGTATCAGTAAAATGTATAATCTACAATAAAATCTCGTTTCAAATTGTGTTACGATGTCTAAAGTTACTGATAAATCACATGTTTCCTGCCTGGCCTTGCCCGTGTACCTTCTCTCGTCTGGGCGCTAAGAGAGGAGCCCTCAACCAGTGCAGCAGCAGCCACTAGCAGCTGACTGTTGCTATCTGTAACGTGTAAACTATGCCGCGAAAACATAATTTCAGCCAATCAGCGTCGTCAAATATGATGGTCACAGGGCTCCTACGTGAGCGCCCCGTGCAGTCTGTGAGTTGTTTGGACTCGTATCCAAGGAGACAAAACAGGAAGCTGTCATACACTCTGGAAGCTACAGCTAATGAAAACTCAGTTTTTGACATAAAAATTGAATTATGGATCATCAATCATTTTTCAAAGTGACAGACACATTGGATTAACCTATGGATTAACCTTCAGCTGCGTTTTTCTCGTTTTTGATCAGAATTGTTATTCTGCAAAAGGTGAGCATATCTCCATGTTTTGCTACCTAAAGCTACGTCGTGTGATGTCTGTATTTGCTTCCCCTGTCGCGAGTTCTGATCGCTCAGTGATGATACTTATATTTCTAGAATATGTGGAATCTCAGCTTGTAAGCTTGTTTGTGCATATCCGATAAGTATATCGATTGATTTATACCTAGAGTGCGGTAGCATTTTTTCGCTCAGGGCTCATTTAGACGCTTCTTGTGAGACTTGTGTTTTGTTTCGGTAAACATGGTTCATATCATCAGTTAGATGCGTTTCCTCTGAGTAGGACACATGAATAGTTTATTACATTTTAAGAAGCCCTGAGACACAGTTTCGTGAAAAAAAAAACGGGGGGAAAAAGCCCCTTAACAGGTTAAATGGGAATTAAATCAGTGTTCCCAAAGCCCCGGTGTTCTGCAGTTTGTGTGGGCATACTGTACTGTTGCACAGTTTATGCTGTAGAAACTATGTCCAGGACAAGGTGTTTGGAAGTTTTGGAAGATTCATAGCTAACCACACTGAAGTTATGGAGGTATTGATCAGTCTTCTCATATTTTTAAGCCTCAAATTAAGCATCCCC